AGGAGAAAAAAAGTGAGGGGGAGAAGGGAAAAAGAAAAGGCATTGACTTTCGACTTCCTGTGTTGCAGTAGAATGAAGCATTAACATTGAACCTCAACTTTTAACTTTTCCATAATAGTAAAAATTTCCCATTTCTATAACAACAAATCAATCTAATCAGTAAAACCCAACATTCCCACCCCTCTCTTTTTTTTTAAGTCATTGCGTTTTTGATACCCTACTAAGCACTGGTGGTACTCGAATATTGTCATGTTCTAAAAGTGGTACAATCTGTGAAAAGATTGAAAAGCCCTGCCATAGAGAACCTTGTCCACTTTTTCAGTCCACAGATTCCAAGATGACCTTGCAAGGTTTCAACCATGCAATTCACCAATCTCTGGCCAGCTGACAGTTGACTGTGAACAAATATGAATGATTTTGTCTGCAAAAGTCATAAAACTAGACCTAATTGTAGTTCTTCTGATTTAGATATAGATAACCTTTAACAGTTTCACTAGATAATTTCTGGTGATAAGATAAGGGTAGAAAATTATAGACATCCCATCATCCTTACTGCTATAGTGAAGATCTGAACATGGGATGAATTTTATTTGCTCTTAGTTTTGTGACTAGAGTGAGAAATTTTGCTTCTCAAAATTAAGGCTGTTAAATTTGAGTTGGGAAAATCCTGATAATCACTAAATGCTAGCAAAGAACTAATGTTTCTTTTTATCAAATCTAGAGGAGGCCTAGCTTAGTGCCATATCTAATTTTGCTCCTAGGGTCAAAACTGGGCATCTTTCTGATTCTATGCAAGTTCATTTTCTTGGGATAACACTGAATGTCAGTTTAATTAAGTTGATTATATTAATGAAATTAATATTAGGGCTATCATATCTGGGCTACAAAAATGTATACTGCTAGAGGGCAGCAAAAAGAAAAATATAACGATTGTGTAGATTTTTACCACATGAAATAGTATGCTTAATTAATGGACACAATTTTATTAGGAAAATAGCAGCTGCAAGGAAATCTGAGTAATATTCAGATCATGGTAGATGAGGAACAAAACTTTAATTTTTGATTCCCAGTCAGGAACTCTACAAAATAATTATCTGGTCTTCCATTACTATTTACTGTATTCCATACAGTATTCTATGTAGATTTCAAGAGAAACCTTTGGCACCTGTCACCTAAACAATATTTGGCAGAAAAAAATATATTTCTAGAATCCAAATGGTAGGTAATGACAAAACTCAAGATTTATTTGTTTATTTATATTCCACTTTATTATTTTCACAAATAACTCAAGATGGCAAGCATAAAGAATCCACCTTCCTCCTCCTATTTTCCCCACAAGAACTCTGTGAGGTGACTTCTGTTGAGAGACAGTGACTGGCCCAAGGTCACCCAGCTGGCTTTCCCAGCTTGAACTGACAGTTTCCTGCTTTCTAGCTGATGCCCTAACCAAAAGGCAACTAACTAGCTCTTTATTATTACTATTATTAATTTGATTTTGATGCCACCTGACCCCCAAATCCACAACTTGTATTCGTAATTGCTGAGGATACATAGATTGATATTAGAATAACTATTTTGGTGGAGGGACATACTTTTTGAAAGCAATATACTGTATTTGTTTTTCTTCATACACCAAACATACAATACATTGGTTTTAGAGAAAGGCAGATGTGCAGGCCATATCTTTTTCCTCTTCTGTTCAATCATGTCCAGTTTTCAGAGACTGCCTAAACAGATTCCTGCAGGTTTTTGGATTTGTAACTGGCTGACAAACCATACTCAACGAATAGTCCTTAATGGTACTACATCTACATGAAGGGAAGTAAGCAGTTCCACCTCATTCTTTGTATCAGTCATCACACAAAAAGAAACTATACCCAACCTACCAAAAACATAACTGTAAAAGACAGACTAGAAATAAAAATTAAAATAAGCAACAAAATGGTAAGAAAACACCTGTCTTATCTTAATGAATATAAATCACCGGGATCTGATGGATTACATCCCACAGTTCTGAAGGAGATGGCCGATGTTATCTCAGAATCATTGTATTTTATCTTTAAAAAATCTTGGTGCACTGGGGAACAACCAGAGGATTGGAAAAGAGTTGATGTGATTTCCATCTTCAAAAAAGGTGAAAAATACCGACAAATCATTCTAATATCAATACCTGGGAAGATACTGGAAAAAATAATCAAAAAACAGATGTGTAAACATTTAGAAACAAATAAAATTATAACGAGAAGCCAGCATGGGTTTGTTAAAAACAGATCATGCCACTTATTTTCTTATTTCATTCTTTGACAAAATAACTAAATTAGTAGACCAGCTAAATGCTGTGGACATAGTATATTTAGACTTCAGCAAGGTATTTGACAAAGTAGACCACAACTTACTTCTTGGTAAGCTAGAAAAATGATTGACAGCATCACCACCAGATAGATTTGTAACTGGCTGACAAATCAACAAGTAGCCCTTAATGGTACTACATCTACATAGAGGGAAGTAAACAGTGTGGTACTAGAAGGTTCTATCTTAAGACCAGTACTCTTCAATATCTTCATCAATGACTTAGATGAGAGAATAGAAGGGGAACTCATCAAATTTGGAGATGACACCAAACTAGCAGGAGTAGCCAACACCCCAGAAGACAAACCCAGGATCCAAAAAGATCTTGACAAACTTGAACAATGGGCCCTATCCAACAAAATGAGTTTCAATGTGGAGAAAAGCAAAGTTTTAAATTTAGGCAGGAAAAACCAAAGGCACAAATATAGATTGGGCAAGACCTGGCTTAAAAATAATAACTGTGAGAGGGACCTTGGAGTCCTAGTGGACAATCACTTGACTATGAGCTGGCAGTGTGCAGGAGCAACCCAAAAAGCTAATACAGTCCTATATAGAGGCATAGAATCAAGATCACACAAAGTATTATTACCGCTTTATAAAACTCTAGTAAGACCACACGTGGAAAACTGCAGCCAGTTTTGGTCACCATATCACAAAAAAGGTGTTGAGAGTTTGGGGAAAAATCAGAGAAGAACAACTAAGATGATTAAAGCCTGGAGACTAAAACATACGAAGAACAGCTACTGGACTTGGGTTCGGCTAGTCTTAAAAAAAGAAGAAATAGGGGAGACATGATAGCAGTGTTCCAGTATTTGAGGAACTGCCACAAGTCAGAGGGGGCCAGGTTGTTCACCAAAGCACCAGATGGAAGGATGAGAAACAATGGTAGGAAACTGATCAAAGAGAGAAGCATCCTGGAATTAAGGAGAAACTTCCTGACAGTGAGGACAATCAACCAGTGAACAGCTTACCCCCAGAAATTGTGGGCGCTCCATCACTGGAGATTTTTAAGAAGAGACTAGACATTCCCCTGTCTGAGACAGTATAGGTTCGCCTGCTTGAGCAGGGGGCTGGACTAAAAGACCTCCAAGGTCCCTTCCAGCTCTATTCTATTCTATTCTATTCTATTCTATTCTATTCTATTCTATTCTATTCTATTCTATTCTAACTTGAACAATGGGCCCCATCCAACAACATGAAATTTAATGTGGAGAAAAGCAAGGTTTGCACCTAGGAAGGAAAAAGCAAATGTACAAGTACAGATTAGACGAAACCTGGCTCAAAAACAATTAATGTGAGAGGTACCTTGGAGTCCTAGTGGACAATCACTTAAACATGAGCCAGCAGTGTGCGGCAGCAGCCAAAAAAGCTAATATAATCCTTGATTGTATAAATAGAGGCATAGAATCAAAATCACATGAAATATTAGTATTGCTTTACAAAGCCTTAGTAAAATCACACCTGAAATATTCAATCCAATTTTGGTCACCATATTACAAAAAAGTTGTTGACACTTTGGAAAAAGTGCAAAGAAGAGCAACTAAGATGATTAAACATGACTAAAACATATGAAGAACGGTTGGAGGATTTGGGTTTGGCTAGTCTAGAGAAAAGGAGAACTAGGGGTGACATGATAGCAGTATTCTGATATTTGAGAGGCTGCCACAAAGAAGAGGGGGTCAACTTATTTTTCCAAAGCACCAGAGAGCAGGACAAGAAACAATATATGGAAAGTAATCAAGGAGAGAAGCAACCTGGAATTAAGGGGGAACTTCCTAACAGTGAGGACAGTTAACCAGTGGAACAGCTTGCCTTCAGAAGTTGTAGGTGTTTCATCACTGGAGGTTTTTAAGAAAAGACTGGACAGCCACCTATCTGACGTGGTATAGGGTCTCCTGCTTGATCACGGAGTTGGACTAGAAGACCTCCAAGGTCCCTCCCAACTCTGTTCTGATTAAATATTGAGAAATGATTTGCCTCCTTCCGAAAATAGGGAAAATAAGTAGCTGGCTTTGTATCTAAGGCAGCCTAGAATTCATAGTCTCTTTGTTTTTCTGATGCCTGTTCTGACTGTCGTTCTTCCTAATTTCAGCAAGAAGAATTGAAAGGGGAAGGGTAACATAGCTAACTTCTATTAATAAAGCTTAGCAATTATTTATTTGCTTAAAATTAGTACCTAATTTTTGAAGGTGGTCCAAAGTTGATTTGATCTTGCACCTTCATTAATGCTGATTTAACTCTATAAATGGAAATACACACACCTTCATACTATGCATATTTTACATAATTAATGGGCTGGTAAGCTCATTTAGAAAGGGCACCATTTACAAAACCATATGTCAAAATGTTCATTTGGCCTTGGACAGCAGGCTCTGGAGGGTTGATGAGCATCTTGTGGTCATTATAATTATGATTCTATGCAGGATGGAAGTTTGCCAACAGTGAATGTGCTATGAAGAGGTTTAAAATGTCAGTGGCTTCTTTTTGTGTATTTATACAGAGAACATTTGCAATTTATGAAGCGCCTCAAACAGTTTGGCTCTGGGAAAAAAGCAATGTGAACGTGAATATGTATAATGAAAAGCATCATATATTCTTGAGTTATCCCTTTCTAACCTATGCTTTTATATTCTTATCCGTGTTTTTTGTAGAACATTTAAAAAAAAACCTGGAGGAATATATGGCACATATTGACAAAGTGAGAATTGTGCGCACCAAGAAGCGGGAAGGACTTATTCGCACCAGATTACTTGGAGCTACAATAGCTAAAGGAGAAGTATTGACTTTTCTAGATTCACACTGTGAAGTTAATGCGAACTGGCTACCTCCTTTACTAAGTAAGTGGCATAAAGTACCTTAATCTGAATATTAGAATATTTTTGCCTTTGTTTCATTCTTCACCTCTTCTATCACTTTTGAAATTATAACTATATACAATGTCAGATAGATAGACACAAAAAGATTCATTGTGCAACCAAATGTTTTGATTTGGGTGTGATTCCTAAAAACAATGTTTATGGATATTATGATTTGGTAGGTCCATAGCTGAGAGTGGTTCTACCTATTCTATGCTGTGAAGAAACAAAATTTACTAAGGAGAAACTTCCTGACAGTTAGAACAATTAACTAGTGGAACAACCTGCCTCCAGAAGCGGTGAATGCGCCAACACTGGAAGTTTTAAAGAAGAAACTGGACAGCCATTTGTCCGAAATGGTATAGGGTTTCCTGCCTGAGCAGGAGGTTGGACTACATGATCTCTGAGGTCCCTTCCAACTTTATCATCATTATTATTATTATTTGCATGTAACCACAGCACAACCATTTTCTGGAACATCATTTTTCATTGCACACCTGTGATTTTATCTTTTTTTCCCCAAGTTTTTTATTAATTTTCCAATATTACATTTACATATTTGAAAAGTAGCATGGCGGCTGAGCACAGTAATTCCATTACATTTGAATATCATCAGTACAAATCTCAGAGTATTACAACAACTAATTCTCTCTCTTTCCCCCATAATATTTACTGTCATATTTGAACCAATACATTTTTTATTCTATCAATCAAACAAAAAATACCTTTCTAGTATTCATCAATGCTCTTCAGTCTATACATATCTTAATTAATTTGACATTCCATCTTTTAGACAATAAAATTTCTAAGTCTCCTATCTGGGGCTATTTGGGGCTAATAAATTTTTTCTTTTCTTCCTTCTACTTTCTTCCTTTCTTCCTTTCCAGAAAAAGAAAAAAAGCATTTGTACCACAAACCCATATACAAATTTAATTATTAGCATTTATACTTCTACGTTTTACTTAACCTTTGTCTCAACTCATAACAATATCTTAAATTCAAATTTTAGTTATTTGTAAACATTCAAACTTTTAGCCAATCAGTGACCTGATGGTTAATTTTCTCTTAATATTTTAATATAACATTTAATATTTATTTTTTTCCAAAATTTTAATTAAACACAATTCCTTTATCACAATTCCTCATACAATCTAATATTTAAAATACACCCCTTATATATAAATTCTACCATCTATCTTAACAAACTAATAAAACAGTATAGTATTCTTATTTCAATATTTATATTTCTAGGTTTTATATGACCAAAATTTTCTTTATCTCAAATTGTTACAATATCTTGTGTTCAGAATACATATTCTATCCATTTAGATATATTCTATTTTTGATCTCATGTGTAGATCAAAACCCCAATCTTTTTCAATCTTATTCGAGCTTTTTTTCTCTGCCAGGTCATTTTTCGTATCTTTGCTTTTAAATCATCAAAAAGATCTCCTTGTATTATTGTGGCTATTGTTTGATGTTGATAAGAGCTTCCAGTTGATGTTTTCTTAAGAGGACTAGCTGATTTAGCAGGTCGTCTCTTTGTTTTTCCAGTTTGATGCAGTTGTCCCAAAGTATTTATCTTCTCTTTCATCTGTTTTTCTTTTTTATCTTCAAATTCCTTCTGGTTTATAAGAAAAGTCCTTTCCTTATTCTCTATTATCAGTTTCTTTTTTATATTTTCCATTGTCTGTATTTGTTGAGTATCTAAGTCTTCTGTCATAGCATTTGGTTGTTTCACTTTCTCTATAGAATTCTGTATAGATGATTCTTTGGTTGAAGTCATAATTTGAACTTGCATATCCAGACTTATATGTAGAGTTTGGATAATCACTTTTAACATACAAAGAATTTGTTCCTGTGCTTCCTCTGTAGAAGAAACCCATTCCTGTTCTTCTTCCATTGTAGTATATTAAACTAAAAAAAACCTTACAGTCAGAAAGTCCACCAAGTGAGGAGCTGATGGTGCTTCAAGGTTGCTTTATATTTTATCTATTTTCAAAGCTGTCAACAAATCTCTCTTAAAGAATAGCAGGTTACGTCTCAGAGTTAGTTGGATCTTTTCAGTTTTCCCCCCATCTATTTTAAGGGGAAAACCCCCCAAATCTTCAATAGTAATTAGAATAAAAATCAGAGAAAAAAAATAGAGAGAGTAGAAAGTTACAAGTCTTATAATCCACCAATTTTAGGAAATAGAATTCCAATTAGGATCCCAGTATTTTTCCAACGTTTTAAACTCCCGAGTGGTTGATTGCTGCTGTTTCTCAAGGGAGGGCTAAAATCCCCCTTCCCTCACCACAGGGGGAAAAGTACTTTAGCAGCTTATGCAGCTAATTAAGTAATTAGGATGTAAGAGAGGTAGTCCTCACCCAGTCCTGTCCACGCAGCTTTGAAGTTGCCAGATGGTAATGTGACTTCGGCTGTTAGCAGCCTAGGGACGAGCCATATTTCTATGGCCGGTCCTTTCGTCTGCCAGTTTGGAGGGAACGCCTGCTCTAACATGAGAGTTGCTGCTCTCCCGCGATCCAGAGAAAGCCCCTCCTTGCTGGTCGCCTCATTGGGGCAACTTTTGGCCCTTTTCGGGCCTCCCCAGCGATGCGAAACTGAATGGGGGAGAGAGAGCAAATCTCCCAGCCATCCATGGCGGCTGCGTGACAAACTGCGATTTTATCATTCTCTCACTTCAATCCATGAAGTAAGATAGGCTTTAGTTGTCCTTAGGTCTACTTGTATTAAAGTAGAGTTTTTTTCTTCTAATACTGACACTGTACAAAACATTCCTCAAGCTGTGATTAGGTTTTGTCACTTCTTTCCTTTGAAGGCAATTAGTGACTTGAAACAGAAACAATTGAAGCAGGATAGGGATTGACAATAGAGGCACCAAATTTCAAGGTAGTTCTTCCATATTGTCACTGCAGTAGCAGCAAAATTAAGTGTCAGAAATATTTCTCCTAACTTTCTCAGTCATACAAGTATATTTTTTTCTCTCCTGTTCAGCTTCCTGTACTCATTGCCTCTGCTTCCTCAGTACGCCATTTGGACTCTGAAAGCTTTCTCTATTAGTTTTACTGCATTAAGGAAAGGCTGAAAGATTCTATTTTTTTGTAATGCTCAGAAACATTGACTCATGCTTAATCAAAGTAAGTTTATTGCCTAAACTAAATGACCCAAAGCCTGCTGACAGTGTTGGATCATACTAGATGAGAAGATGTCTTTAGATATAGTCACCTGATCAACCTGACAAAATCAGCTTAAGAATCCAGTATAACTTGGGATTCATCTGAATACCCTTTATGCCACTAATATTATGAGATGAAATAAATACCCTAAAATTTTGGAGCTTCTTTTTTGCAAATTAATTTATGTAGATTAATTCAGACATAAAATAGTATTATGGGGTATATAAAAGTGTAATGGACTGGAAGATCCCTACCTTTCAAGTATTGGGTTACAGCAAAACCAAATATATTTCAATAACAAGAAGCAGCATTTTCTTTGTGAATATTGTATGCAAACCTCAAATGAACATTTTTCCTTCATTTTTCTTTCTGAGCATTCTTGTTGGCTCCTTATATGAGAGATTAGAGACAGCACAGAGCAGCACAATGACAAAGATATACATGGTTTGACTTTGATGGTCTCACTGGGATGCTTCTCTTTTTGAAGAACTATAATTGCTTCTAATCATTGTGCAAGTGCATCAAGCCCAGACAAGACCGAGGCTGGATGCAGATATGAAAACTGAAATGCTTCTGGTCCTATGGGGACTTGTCTAAACAATCTTCCAATTAAAAAACAGTAAAGCAGAGGAAGAGGGAAGAATGGCTTCCAATGGCTTTTTTTTTTTTTTTGGTAAGTTGATAAATGGCTTGACTGTCTTGCTGTTTTCATATTTTCTATTTTCATATTTCAGACCAGATTGCACTGAACTATAAAACTATTGTATGTCCCATGATCGATGTCATTGACCACAATCACTTTGGGTATGAGGCACAAGCAGGGGATGCCATGCGTGGAGCCTTTGACTGGGAGATGTATTACAAAAGAATACCAATTCCACCGGAGCTCCGAAGGACTGATCCCAGTGATCCTTTTGAGTAAGTAGTCATTGCACTGAGCATGAAAATTAAACACTGCAGACGATGGGACCTTGGATCAAATTAGGCTCACATTGTACAGTTTTATTAAAACTAGCAACATACAGGGGCCATGGTGAGAAAAATCAAAAAGTGGATGAACGGATCCATAGAAATGCCTCTAGCACTGTCCTTTGATCAGGAAGAAATCTGGTTAATCAAAGGCTCTTGTTCTTTATCATTAACAGGAGAAAAAAATGGGAAATAAATTTATCTGTGTTGATTCCTATTACACAAAATAGGAGATTAACACAACAGATAATCAAACTTCAGTCTGTTCTCATTTAGCTAAGGCATTACTCAAGGCAGCAAACATATCCAACACACTTTCCTTCTCATAGATTTGCCATAACAACCTTGTCGGGGGGGGGGGTGTTGGGCTGAGAGAGTGTGACTGGCTTAAGGTCAGCAAGCTAATTTTCATAGCTAAGACAGGACTTGGACTCATGATCTTCTGTTTTCAAGCCTGGTGCCTTAATCAGTAGATCAAACTGGCTCAGGTGATACCCAAATGATTGTGAAAAAGTTCAAATAAGCCAACATCTTAGCACTGATATTGCATGGTTCACAATAAGTCTCTCCCTAGTCTTCACAAAGTCAACTCCCTTTTTTATTGATATTTTTGTCTATATTGTAAAACAGAATTTATGCTCATCTGCCAACAAAACTAAAATCAATGGCACTGGAGAAAAGAAAGTGGAGTTTTGGTTAGTAGTTAAAGCTACAACCATTAAATTAAGATCCTTTCTATGCTGCATTTATGTAATGTAATTGTATAATAACTACAATGTAATTGTTGACTTTTGTTGCCAATATACTGACAAGAATTGATAGATTATAACTGCCAGTCTTCCAAGGTCCTACCTGTTTTCTTCTCATAAGTCATATTTTTAACTATGAACAAACAAAGACATGATGTCTCAGTGTTGTGGCTAATTTTCTTTAACCTTAGATTTGCATTCCTGAAATATTAACAACAAAAAGACTGAAACTGTCATAAGTCAAAAAAATCCTTACTTCAGATCAGAATACATTAATAAAATGGAATAAACTCTAGGATATAGTGTTAGTGGTCTGGACAATATAAAACTTACCAATGAGTAAAATGACTGAAGCAAACTATAAAATGAAATATTTCCAATCTCCATGTTATCAGCAGAAAAGAGCTCAAGCTTAAAGAGCCATGACTTCTTGCAAAGCTTTGTATAGGACTGTGCATGCTTTCCAAAATTATCCAGTGCCAAAACACCACTTTAAACCAACCACAAAAATAAGGAAAAAAGAAAAAAGAAATGGCTGCTATACATATGTTTGCCTACATTCTGGTGCCTTCTGAGTAATTTATGAATAATTACTGCATAATTCTGAACTTCTATATGTATCATATATATGATTATAAACAATACATATATTGAAAAAAGATAAAGTAGATTAAAAATAGTGTGTAGTGAGAAAAGAAAATAGAAAAAATAAAGAGTGGAACAGAACAGAACAAAACAAAACAATAGAATAGAATGAAGGAACTTCCAATCGTCTTGATAACAGTAATAAATGCGTTTACATTTCACATTCTGTCTCTAAGATTAACATCATAGTCTTCTTTTCTTAAGCTGTCCTTTCTAATCATTAAACATCTGGGTAATTTTGGAAGAAATAATTACTCTATTTTAGTTGGACTGAAAAATCTCTTATAGTCCACAAATACAATAAGATGAGTTGTCTTCTTCTCAAAAAGAAGATGATTTAGTCCAGGGATGTCCAACTTTAAGACATGTGGACTTCAGCTTCCATAATTCCCCAGCTACCTTAAAGTTGCCAAGGTTGGACACCCTTGATTTAGCCAATAAGTCTTTATTTAATAAATGAGGAATACCCAACTGCCACCAAGGGAATTACTAGTCCTTTGAACTGTAATTTAAATCTGATTTTTTCTGAATTCTAGCTCAATAGTCTAATGAATTTACATTTATGTATTTTATTTCTTGTCGCTACTTCTTTATCCAGCCATTCAGACCTTTGAGAACATCAAGAAAATTTCACATCACTTTTTTTTTCAAATAAAGTATTTTCTTTGAGAGAAAAGTATCATTCTATTTGTTTTCGATTGACATCAAGTCTTTTTCTGTTTTAGAGGAAATGGTCTGGACTGGAATTTTCTTCTTTCAGATTTATAAGCCTTTCTTAACATTTTATAGTACATTGCTCCTAGAGGAGGGAAAAGCAAAATTTAAAAGGGAGATTAAAACCAGTTTGTTCTCTTCAAAAAAGAAAAAAAATCTCACAAAAACAATTAATACATTTCCAGGCACATCTAGCTTGTAACTACATTATAGTATTCAATAAAATCTACTTTCTGAAGGAAGGAAGGAAGGAAGGAAGGAAGGAAGGAAGGAAGGAAGGAAGGAAGGAAGGAAGGAAGACACAATTGTATTGTATGCCATCATTTGTATTGTATGCCATCATTTATAATGCTAGCATATAAGTAGAACTTCATCAATTATCTAGTGCATTTTCCACTGAAATAGTGCAAGGAATATACTTTTTACTGAAGCTTAGAGTTTACTGAACTCTAAATTACTTTGGCTTGAAAGTGTTTTCCAAATTCTTTTACCAGTGAATCTACTGTATCCAAGTAATTAATGTGTAGTTTCTACATATCACATACACACCTATTTCCCCTTTAAAAATATTATTTTAAAGTTATTTACAAAAAATAGTCATTTGTTAATTAGTAAACAATGAAATCATATAAATAATATAAATATTATGAAAATGAACAATTTTTCATTTTTAAATGTACTAAACACAGTGGCTGTGCATTGAAGCTTAAATAATAAAAGGGCAGCAGTTCCCTTTATTTTGACACCCATCATCCTTACCCTGGTAGACGGTGTTGGAAGCAGAACTATAGCTGCCTGCATAAATAAATAGTGAGAAAGGGCATTCCAGTTATTCCTGGGAAATATTCTTAGAAATACAAAAATAATGTGTTAAGAGTGGAAGACTCCCTCTTTTTTCTTTATTAACATTTAGGCAAAACATTTATGCCTTCTGAATACTAGAATACTAGAAGTCTATCTGGACCCGCTCCAGTCGGGCTTCAGGCCGGGATACAGCACGGAAACGGCATTGGTCACGTTGGTAAATGATCTCTGGAGGGCCCGGGACAGGGGCTATTCCTCTGTCCTTGTTCTTTTGGACCTCTCAGCGGCTTTTGATACCGTGGACCACGGTATCATGCTGCGACGGTTGGGTGGGTTGGGAGTGGGG